GAGAGAGCGAGAGAGAGAGAGAGCACGCGAGAGAGAAAGAGAGAGAGAGAGAGCGAGGTAGAGAGAGAGCACGCGAGAGAGAAGAGAGAGAGAGAGCGAGGTAGAGAGTGCGTGTGCGAGAGAGCTCGCTAGAGTGAGCGAGAGAAAGAGACAGTGTGCACATATGATTGACGCGGACAAATATAAACGTCTAATTCTATCAGTCAGATATTCGAGATATCGCGATCGAATCCGACGTCTAGATTTTACGCTGTTGCTTTCGCTGAACGAGCAAATAACATTAGAACGTGCCTGTCTTTGACTCGCCATTGCTACATATAGTCCATAGCTGACTCACAATATCCCGTAGTAACTATAACTGGAATAGAAAGTTCAGTCACAAGTTATAGAATCGAGCTCATTAATATAGTTAAATTCTCATAATAATATTTCCCGTTGCTGTTTATTACAATTGCTGTAATCATCGGTGGTATTTCCTCGCAGCTGCTCGCGCGTGACGTCATCGTCGTCGTTCATCCGTGACGTCATCGTCGTCGTCGTCCACCAGTGACGTCAACGTCTCCGTCGTCACCGCATTCAGTGACGTCATCGCCATCGTCCACCAGTGACGTCATCGTCTGCGTCGTTGCATCAGTGACGTCAGCGTCTGCGTCGTCATGACGGTGATACCGTTCATCAACGAGGACGTGGCGGCGGTCGCCAAGCGCGCGAACGACCGCATTCGCAATCCGAAGGCGCAGCGCGCGATCGTGCTCGTCATCGTCTGCATTGCTCTGCTGCTCGACAACATGCTCTACATGGTCATCGTCCCCATTATCCCCGAGTACCTGCGCAGCATTGGCGCGTGGACCGAGATCGTGGCGCCGGTGTCGTGGACCGTGGACGCTAACGGAACCAACGTGACGATGCCGCCGGGAGTGACGCGATACGAGGGCGAGTCGGTGGCGGTGGGCATGCTGTTCGCGTCGAAGGCTCTGATTCAGTTGTTCATTTCGCCGTGCGCCGGCTACGTCATCGACCGGATCGGCTACGATCTGCCGATGATGTTCGGACTGACGGTGATGTTCCTGTCGACGGCGATCTTCGCGTTCGGGAAGAGCTACGGCGTGCTGTTCTTTGCGAGGAGTCTCCAGGGGGTCGGGTCCGGGTTCGCCGATACGGGAGGCCTGGCGATGATCGCTGACCGCTATACGGAGGAAGTGGAGCGGACGCGCGCGCTCGGACTGGCGCTGGCTTGCATCTCCTTCGGGAGTCTCGTGGCGCCACCTTTCGGCGGGATTCTGTACGAGTTCGCCGGAAAGAAGGTGCCCTTTCTCATTCTCTCCACGACGGCTCTCCTAGACGGCTTCCTCCTCCTACTCGTCATGCGTCCGGTCAAGCAGGCGGAGCTTCTAGAGAGACTCGACAAAGGAGCGCCCGACCGTCCCGCCGTCACCCCAATATGGCGGCTCATCACCGACCCCTACATTGCGCTGTGTGCTGGCGCCCTCTGCATGTCGAACGTCCCGCTCGCGTTCCTCGAGCCGACGATTGCGCTCTGGATGGAAGCGACGATGACGGATGTTAACGAGTGGCAGATCGGCATGGTATGGCTGCCGGCGTTCGTCCCCTACATCTGCAGCGTCTACCTGACGGTCTACCTCGCCAGACGCTACCCGCAGTATCAGTGGATCATAGCCATCGTGGGGCTGGCCATGGAGGGCGTGATGTCTTTCTTCATACCTCTCTGTGCGACCTTCTCCCTTCTCATGATCCCCGTCGGCCTTCTCTGCTTCGGCGTCGCTCTCATCGACACGGCCATCCTGCCAACGATGGGATACCTCGTCGACATCCGTCACACGTCCGTCTACGGTTCGATATACGCTATCGCCGACGTCTCCTACTCGATGGCGTACGCCATCGGGCCGATGATAGCGGGAAAGATTACCGACCTGTACGGATTCGCAGCGTTGAACGTCGGGATCGGGGTCGTCACGTTGCTGTACTGTCCGCTGATCGTTCTGCTGAGAACGATTTACGTCTACAAGCCGATGGGATCTGAGGAGATGTCTGTGTTGATGGAGGAACCCCCGGCGAAGACGTTCAAAGCGTACATGATGAACAACCTCGAGATGGAACCTACCGATATCGACGGCGTTCACAACCACCTGGAACAGCGAGGAGGGGAAGAGGGGAGGCTTCCGAATCCGGTGCCGCGGAACCAGCGGAAGGTGAAGCAGATGACGGTGAGCAATCCGATATTCGCAATGGCGGACAAGGATGGAGACACGAGAGGGATTTTGGAAAGCGACTCCGATTAATCCCTCCCCTGCCGGATTCCCACCCCGTCCTGCCGGGCCCCCGCCGGAGCGAAGGGGCAAACATGCAATAAGTTGTATCGTGTGCTACCGACGACGACGCTGATGCTGCCGACGCTGCTGCTGCTGTCGATGACGCTGCTGTTGTCGTCGTCAGTGTATTTAGCACAGCAAGCCGACAAGCTGTTTACGTGCTGAACTTAAACAACAAACAAAAACTTTGCCGCGTCGAAAGCAGAAGCTCACGAGCGCCGTTACTTAGCAACACTCGGCGGCCATCTTTGCTACTGTAGCAGCGCCCCCTCGCGGGCCGTACGCGCGTAGCCGACCGCTAGATGGCGCGCTTTTGGCATCACGTGACGTGCGCGTAGCATCAACTAGCGAGAGAGAAGTCAGATGAAGACTTAGCATGGAGTACCATGGCGGATAAGTGAGATTGCGTTTTTATGGTGATGCTCATGTGCATGCACGTGTATGATCCGCTTGATGGCGCTGCCGTCGCTGCGCTGCCGTAGGTGGCGCTGTCGTCGGTGACGCTGTCGTCGGTGATGCTTGTGTCTTTCGTTGTTGATACACACGTAAATTGTAGATTATTAATTAATGTCAACTTATCGCGGAGTCGCGTCTGGGAACACGTGGGCATGTGCCGCAGACACGCACTACATATATGTTTGTGGTTGTCATCATGTGTCACGTTGTCACCGTGTGTCGTGTTGTCACCGTGTGTCGCGTTGTCACCGTGTCTCGCGTTGTCACCGTGTGTCGCGTTGTCACAGTGTGACGCATTGTCACCGTGTGTTGCGTTGTTGTTGTATGTACAAATCGTGGTGACATCGTATTTCTCATTGTAACCGTCTGTCGTGTTGTTACATATGTGACGTTGTCAGCACGTGTCGCGTTGTCACATGTGTACCAGCGCGTGTCGCGTTGTCACCATGTGTACCAGCGCGTGTCGCGTTGTCACCATGTGTACCAGCACGTGTCGCGTTGTCACATGTGTAGCCCGTGTCGCGTTATCACATGTGTACCAGCCCGTGTCGCGTTGTCAGATGTGTACCAGCACGTGTCGCGTTGTCACATGTGTACCAGCCCGTGTCGCGTTGTCACATGTGTACCAGCGCGTGTCGCGT